TCATTCATTAACAGGGATTCAGGCTCTCAGACAATCGGAAGCGTTAGCTTCAACAACGGCTCTCATTCCGGCAACAGATACGATTCGACTGGCCAACCCCAAGTTGACAGCGACGATGTTCGCAACAGTGATGGCAACGGCAAAAGAAGCAGTGTGAAAACTGGACGCTAATTAACTCATAATGGTGATCTATCTATCTATCTATCTATCTATATATCTATATTACTAAGGGAATAATCAATAAGAACTGTATGATCATCATAAAAAGGATAATGCTGGCTGCTAGCTAGTATTGGCCCTTTAATTACTATGGTTTGATCCTTAATTATATATATATATATATATATATATATATATATAGTGTGCGCGCGGTGTGTAATCAGGAGGCTGTTCATCATGATGATCCTCCTCTTAATGTAAATAAAAATATCGTTTCAGTTAAGGTTTCAATTGTTTAGAGGGCCCTCTGCTGCATGAGATGAGTCTTATGCATGATGTGAATAAATCAGACGCTATGTTGAAACGCTTGCTGAATATGAGTAAGTAATAATTGTTAAATAAATTAACTTGTTAAAAGACATTATGCTACCATCACAATAAATAAATATAACTTCCTTAATATATATAGAAGAGAGTGTGGATTATAATTTAGAAATAGGCATCAATTATAAATTGAAAATTGTTACAAGTTCATTTAAATTAATTCAGATTTTTTTTTTTAAAAAAAAAACAAACTGGCCAATTTAATCATATCAACTATATTGATATAATTGGTTTTTGAATTTTGTAACTGAAAAGAAATTAATCTAAACAAACTGGCATAGTTGGTTTATTGCTCGAGCAATGAAACCAAGTCTCGTGATGATGATCCTTTAATTTTCTTGGTCAAGTTGCATTAGATTTTGGGGGTTAATACATGCATATATGCTAGTCAAGAGACGAGATCAAAATAGTGCAATTTGTGAATTTTAATTTCTAAAACATAAGGACTAGCATTTGAAATGGATAAACTGTCGGTAATAACTGAAAAGAAATTAATCTGAGCCCGAATTTATACCAAATCAAATCCTTACACCTGCCGCGATGGAATTTGTGGGAGTGGGACGGACCTCATAGCTATATATGTCACCCTCTGCGTCAGGCTTAATTGCAAAAGTGATACAAGCTAAGAACGCATCTACTTCTTACGCAAGAAAAGACAACTTATTAATATATATATATATTATATATATGGTCATAAACGAAAATGTTATCCACAAATTTCAGCTATAAAACTGAAAAGCAATGTAGCTAATGCTACTTCCGGTCCTAAATATAAAAACTAGATGATCAATTTGGAGTAATTAAGAAAATAAATTAAGTTAATTATTTGTAATAGATAAGTATTGTCTTTCCTAAAATATCCTTGTTAATCAAGTGTATTTACTAGAACTACCATTATTAAAATGACTATCTTGGGAAAAAATGCATAAATATGAGAGACAAAGTGGATTAGGGTCTTATATTTAAGAGTAAAATAAAAGTGAAATGAGTTTTTATATTAAAAACAGGAGGTAGTAATTTTTATTTTTTATCCTTGCAAATAATGATATGAAAGACATCATGGATATATATATATACACACATATATATAGATACATATATCCACCTGCTGGTTGCTTTCCCTTGCTTCACTCTCTGCGTAGCATGCTTCTGATCTCAATAAGAGTATGCTTCTAAAGCCTTTGTCCCAAGGCCTTTTCATAAGGCAACCCCAAGGTTCTGCTGTAACATTGTCACCTTCCTCAATTCTATGGAGAAAGCCCTCCGCCACCAAGTTAATTAGTCTTGTCTTTGAGGATGCCCCCGCAAGCCGCTCTATTGGCGGTGTCAGAGAACGCGTTATTTGTTTCTTTATTTTTGCAAACCTCTCTCGTCAAAATAAAAAAGGATTAATTAAGAGAGTAAAGTAGTGAAAAAAGCAGGCAGAGAAGGATTATACAGCAAAACGTGTCGCGTGTTTGGCCAGTCTTTTAAAAATGTTATAATGAATTCCACACACCACAGTAACACATATTCCATCAACCTATAGTCGTCGTTTAACTAATAACCATACAGTTGGGCAGCGATTACTAGAGATATGGAATCGGAAACGTGACCATACATGAATTAAGAAAAAAAAGATACCCCACAGCTTCGCGTTGAAAGAAGGAAACAACACAGATTCTGGTTACTGCATCTATAAAACGCTGGCGAAGCAAGCGAGACGAGACACCGATCGATCAAAGCCAGAAAAGAATCAAAGTAATAATATTATATCAGTGATCGAGGAACTCTATCGCCGGTGAGACCAAATGAAATCGGAGCTGATCAATAGACTAAGTGTGTGTGTAATCCACCGTCTAAGAGTTGCCTTGGTGCATGAAATCTCAGTCTTGTTCGTGTCATTTACGGGTGCCTTTAGACAAGACCTATCTAATTTGCTTGAACTATTTTGATCGAAAGCGTTACTGTTTTCAGATCATCTATATTTATATAAAATAAAATAAAAACAAATGGGGCATTAACCCAGCACACAACTAGCGGGGGAGTATTCAAATAATATCACGAAAAGAAAAGATTTTTATTACAAAAAATAGAGAGGTTCAGGAACCTCGTATTCATTACAGACTATCAACTTCGTTGATCAAGATTCATGTTCCTTGGACTAAAGCACAGTTATTCATAAAGGATTATTATTAAGGCTTTAGAAGAAGGGGCTGGAGATCATTAATTACTGAACTGTTCTTAATTAATTCCTGCCGATACTGGTCGAAGTGTCCAAGGAACCGAAGATAATGGAACCATTTCCGTTGCCGGTGCCGGTGTTGCTGAACATGGCCGGAGGAAAGTTCGGTCCCGGTGGTGCTGCTGCGACGGGGCTTCCCTGAGGAACGGCAGCGCCGGTGAGGTTGGCGCCATGCTGGGGATGTGTTTCCACTGGAACTGGTTGCCGATCAACGAGTCTGAACCAGCGCATCAAATCTTCTTTATTGGCCATCTAGCTGGGGTCAATCTCTTCCGCCTTCAGACTTATTTTCGGCTGTGTAATTGTTTGCCTTCTCTCATATAGTTTGATAGGAAACACACACACTACCTCCAGTCTTTTATATATATAATAATATAAAAGCTAGTTTTACTCTCAATTTGGTCCTAAATATAAGACCTCAATCTATTTTGTCTCTTATATTTATCTACTTTTTTTGCGGTAGTCCTCACAAAAGCTACACATATTAAATATTTTATGAAGTGATAGTTTTATTAATACACATTATTAGTAATAATATTTTAAGAAAGACAACACCTATTTATTATAAATAACTAACATAACTAATTTTTTTAATCTACTCAAATTAATTAATTAGCTATTATATTAAAGACAAGAAGTAATATATATATATATATATAATTGAAAGCCCGAAGGAATATATGCATCGTGATAGCTAGCGGGGGACTAACAAAATCCACTGCAATAATATAATTAATTTAGTTAGAACTCCACATGTTGGAACAGGCCAGGACATAGGATTCGAGTTAATCCTATGCATATATTGTTTGTTATTGATTTTTAAAGAAAAGCATTACATGTGAAGAAGATATAGAATTTTCTTTTAAAGAATGATTTATAACCGGAACAACGTTCGAGTCTGTCGTTAGAGTACCATGTTTTCGAATGTGGTGCGTGTATAACATAAAAAGAAGTTTTGTTAGTTAATGTTTTATACTCCTCCGGTCCTTAATATAGGACTCAATTGTTAAGTTGGTTTTGATCCTAAATATAAGACCCATTTCTCATATTTATTAATTTTTTCTAAATTATCCCTGTGAATACTCCCTCAACTATAATCAAGTAAAAGAGGGAGAGAGGATATTAAGAAAGATTATTATGGTGTTTTAGGAAAAACTGTCACATTTCTTATAATTAACTAACTTACCTAACTTCTTTAATCTAATCAAATTAGTTAAATGGGTCTTATATTAAGGACCGGAGGAGTATATAATTAGGTGAGTAATATATATAATTACTTCTTCTTCTTCTTCTTGGTTTTTTTTTTTCTGCTTTCACATCTAAGTCTTTGGGGCTACTATAGCTACTGCGGCTAGTCCAAATTAAATTGGGGTTGGCTCTTCCAAACATGTTTTTCGCATTTACACCGACTCGAAGTCGAAACACATTGCTTAAGCAGCCAAAGCTCCTTCCATCAGGACTAACGCCACTTACTTTCAATACCTGATGATATTGCAGATATAGTAATGTGTTATGAGTAGGGTTCAGTCCAGTAGATTTAGATGAACCTAAAAGTGAAAGTTTCTTCAATTTTATTCAAAGACGAGAGGTACTACACTATATCCTATCCGTACAAGGAAAAGAAATTAATTTGAACCCTAATTCATTCCACGTCAAAACTTTACACTTCCTGCGATCTAATCTTTGTGACGAGTGTGACTGACGTCACAGCAATATGCCACCCTCCACGTCAGCAGTGGCTACATGTGGCTATATAAGAGTTGTTAGAGAAGAGAAAAGAAAAGAAATACAACTTTTGAAGCTAAATCTTACATTAAGAATATAAGATAATATACTATATGTAAGTTTTATCTGTTCCGTCTCCTAACTACATATATGTTGTTTATTTTTGCCTCCGTCAAAAATGTTTTTATTGTTTGTTTCTTTTCTGCATAACTCTCTCCTCAAAATAAGGAAGTATCAAGTGAAAGTAAAAGAATGAAAAAAGGGCAGCCAGCTGGAGAAGGAAAACGGGTCGCATGCATGGTTGCTCAATTTTGTAATTTTATAATGAATTCCGCACACGACACTAACATATTCCGTCAACTAACCATAGTTGGGTAGCGATTGTAGAAAAGATATATGCAATAAAGCTTCGTGTTGAAGGAAGGAAACGGTACAGATTCTTGTTAGTGCGTCTATAAAACGCAGGCGAAGCAAGCGAGACGATCAAAGCCATCGGAAAAACAAAGAAACTCTATAATATCAGATAATCAGTGAGATCAAATGGCGTCGGATCTTGAGATGATGAAAAGGCTTCTGGAGATGATGCGGGAAAACGAAGCTCGGGCTCAGGCCGGCAGATCAGCCGGAGGCTACAACAGTGGAACCCAAGGCTCATTCAATAACAGCGGATCAGGCGCTCAAAATTTCAGAGACGTCAACTACAACAGCGGCTCTCATTCCGGCAACCGTTACAATTCTCCTTACTACCACAACGCCGCCGGCGGCAACTTTGTTCACAACAGTGGCACTACATACGGCGACGGCAACGGAAGCATTGTGAACAATGGACGCTAATTAACTCATAATGGTGATCTACCTATCTATCTGTATTATTAAGGATAATGCTAGCTGCTGGCTAGTATTAGCCCTTTAATTGCTATGGTTTGATCCTTAATTATTAGATATGGTGTGTGCGCGGTATGTAATTAGGAGGCTATTCATCATGATGATCCTCCTCTAAATAAAACTATCGTTTCAGTTAAGTTTTCAATTGTTTAGAGGGCCGTCTTCTGCATGAGACCGGTCTTGTGCATATGATGCGAAGGATCTCAACAGAGAAAACTTCATTAGTAAATCAGATGGTATGTTGGAAACGGGTGCTCAATATGAGTAATTAATAGTTGTTAAAAATATTATCTTCAATATTTAGTAGATTAAATTGATATCAATAAGAGACTCATCCCAGCTAGTAAAAGAGGCTATGGCTGCTGGTGCAAAAAGAAAAAAAGAAAAAAAGAGAGGCTATGGCCACTTATACGCAAAGTCACAGGTTCGAATCCGTAAATACAAATCATATAGAATGCAAAATTTATTTTTTTACTGGAGCAGAATACTCTAGAAATAAATTAAATTGCAAATATAGAGAATGATTATCGTTCCCTCAATATTAGTACGCAATCGCAACTCATCTTTTAAAGATATCATATGGGTTCGAAATTCTTACTGCTAATATCAAACCTTCTTTTCTACCGAAATTTTAAAGACATTATGCTATCATCACAATAAATCAATATAACTTCTTAATATATAGCAAGAAGACGTGGATTATAATATATATAGAGATGGGCACCAATTATAAATTGAAACTTGTTACAAGTTCCTTTAAATTAATTTAGATTTTGAAAAAAACGAACCGGCCAATTTAATTATATCAACTATGTGTAATATAATTGGTTTTTGTAACTGGCATAGTTGGTTTATTGCTCGAGGAATGAAACCAAGTCAAGAGACGTGATCAAAATAGCGAAATTTGTGAATTTTAATTTCTAGGACTAAAGTTTGAAATGGTTAATACTATGTATGTATGTACTAAGTGGGGAAAAAAATAATTTGAGCCCGAATTACGATATAATTTTTGGGAGTGGGACGGACCTCATTGCTATATATGCAACCTCTGTGCGGGAGGCTTAATTGTAAAAGCGGTGTAAGAACGTATCTACTTCTTACGGAGGAAAAGACAACTTATTAGTATGGTCATAAACCATTATCTTATACGTACAAATTTCAGCGAAAAGCAATGTAGTAATACTACCTTCAATTATTAATATAATAACTCGTTTGACTTTTATTTTAGTTCTAAATATAAAACTCTAATTCAATTTGTCTCTTATATTTATCTATTTTTTTCAAAATAATTCTTGAAATAATGGTAGGTCTTGCCAATATACTTGATTAGTAAGGATATTTTAGAAAAGATAATACTTATTTATTACAATAATAAACTTAACTAATTTCTTTAATATAATCAAATTAGTTAACTAACTCTTATATTAAATACGGATGTAGTATTTTTTATTCTTGTCCTTGCAAATAATGAAATGAAAGACCTCAGGGATATATATATATATATATATATATGTATATCCCTTGCTCAACTTGCCACTCTATGGAGAAAGCCTCCCGCCCCCACGTTAGTCTTGTCTCTGAGGATGCCTCCGCAGGCCGCTCTATTGGCGGCGTGAGAGAATGAATGCGACACCCACAGACCATACATATAAATACATATATACACTTTTATTTTTTGTTCTTTTATTTCTCCAAACCTCTGTCGTCAAAATGAAAAGGGATCCAAAAGAGTGATGAAAAACGCAGGCAGAGAAGGAATAAACAGCAAAACGTGTCGCATGTTTGGCCAATCTGGTAAAAATTTTATAATGAATTCCACACACCACAGTAACATATATTCCATCAAGGTAGTGGTCGTTTAACTAATAACCATATAGTCGGGTAGCGATTAGCTGGCGAGACGGAATCGTAAACGTGACTATACGTGCATTAAGAAATTAATAAAGACACCACAAAGCTTCGCGCTGAAGGGAGGAAACAGTACAGATTCTGGTCATTGCATCTAGAAAATGCAGGCCAAGCAAGCGAGACGGGACATCGATCGATCAAGGCCATAAAAGAGTCAAAGCAATAACATTATATCAGTCAGGAACTCTATTGCCGGTGAGATCAAATGGAATCAGAGCTGATGATGACGAGAAGGCTTCTCCGGATGATTAATAAATCCGCATTTTAATGTATTATTTGATATCTTTTTGGGGATATATATATCAATTAAAATGGGATAACTTGGATTGATTATGAATATTTTGAATTAAATAATCTTTGCATGAAATTAGAAATTTAAAAGGAAATCTTATCATATTTTATCTCCTTTTAAATAATTGATTTTGGCTTTATAAAAATAAAGATAATAGGAAAGCTGAAAAAGGAAGAAGAGGTAAAAAAGGGGAAATTGGGGATACAAGCAACTTGGGCATCAAGGCACCTGATTGTTTTGTTATTTATATTTTTATTGATCCGTAAAAAGCACCCGGGGGAATTCCATAGACCACGCCGCCAATCCTCCTTCAAATTCAATTCATATACATATCCACTCCTTCAATTCCATTCATACAGACCACGCCGCCAACATCAAAACACATATACACAGCTGCACGCGTCCTCTCTCTCTCACGCTATACAACTCTTCTTTCTTTCCATCAGGACCAGCAACGCCATTCATCTCCACGGGTTTCTTTCTTTGTTTTTTTTTTTTTCCTTACAATAATCTCTACACCCACTCTCTTACCATAGTCTCCATGGATTCTCATTGCTTCAAACCTATTATGGATTCTTCTAGGGCTATGAGAGGCTAATCCCATTGCACTTCTTGGAAATGGATGAGTAGCTTGAGCTTGGATCTTCAATTAGGAGAGTATTTAGTCTTCCAATTAATTTTTTCTTGGACTTCATTGGATTTTTCCTCTGTTAGGAATATTCTTATTTGATTTGGAGACTGAGATTATGCGTTATAATTTCTGTTAATTGGTTTTTTGTAATTTAATTTGAGTTATATTACTTGGAATTTGAATTTATATATGATTCATTTGCATTCATTAAAATTATTTTATCTGGCGTGTTGTTGGATGTTATGATTGAGATGTATTACAATTGAGATGAGTCTTATGCATGTGATGTGAAGGATCTCATCAACAGGGAAAACTTCATCAGTAAATCAGATGGCATGTTGGAAACGGGTGCTCAATATGAGTAATTAATAATTGCTAAAAATATTACCTTCAATATTTAGTAGATTAAATTAATATCAATAAGAGGTTCATCCCAGCTAGTAAAAGAGGCTATGTCTGCTGGTCCAAAAAAAAAGAAAAGAAGAGGAGCTGCTAAGAATATGCTTCTAAAGCCTCTGTTTCAATCCAAATGAGGCAGCCCCTAAAGTTCTGCTGTAAGATTGTCATCTTCCTCAATTCTATGGAGAAAACCTTCCGCCGCCAGGTTAGTCTTGCGCATGTGATGTGAATAAATCAGATGGTATGTTGGAAACGCTTGCTGAATATGAGTAACCAATAATTGTTAAATAAATAAAACTTGTTAAAGACATTATGCTATCATCACAATAAATAAATAGTTAAGGGGTTCAACTGTTTAAGGGTCTCTCTTCTGCCAGGTTTCGGAGTTGCATCAGTATAACTAAATCAGTAAAAAATCATAGAGTACGTATGTTGCTTATTACGAATGAGTTGATCTCCTAGTAAAAAAGGCTATGACTATATGTAAACATAAAGTTTCAAGTTCAAATTTATATGAACACAAAACATACTACCTTCTATCATCAATATAAAAGCTAGCTGGTGATTTGATTTGGTCCTAATATACTTGTTGTTTAGAGTATTAATATCTTTCTGCCTAATACCTCTAAATAATTATAAAAATTTCTGATTAATTGATCAAATTCCCTAATTAATCACCTTCCTTTTTAACAAATGGGGCATTAGTCCAACAAAAAGTGACTAAATCAATCTGACTAATGTCTGCTTTCTGCCCCAGCTTCTAATTCAGCCAGCCTCTTCTTTCACGTCATTAATAAATACTACTCCCTCCGTTCCGAATAAAAGACCTGTTTCGCAAACTAAATTGCAATGCAAATGTATCTTATATTTAGGACCTCAGGAGTATGATCAAGCATTCGATTGACCAAGTGTAAGTGTGTGTGTGTGTGTGTGATCCAATGTTACGTCTTAGAGTTGCCCGGGTGCATGAAATCTCAGCCTTTTGCGTGTCACTTACGGGTGAATTTTGGATGAGAAATTGAGAGTCCCTATAGCCTTCAGACATGACCTATCTAATTTCCTTGAACTATTTTGATAGAAAGTGTAATTGTTTTCAGATCCTCCATTTTTTCTTTAAAAAAGAGAGGACATTTTAGAAAAGACAACACATATTTATTCCTCTATATTTTCTTTAAAAAAGAGAGGACATTTTAAAAAAAAAACATATTTATTACGAGTAACTAACTTAACTAATTTTCTTAATCTACTCAAATTAGTTAATTAGCTCTTACATTAAAAACTAGAGGTAGTATATAATATTCTTCCGATCCTTAATATAAGACCTATTTAACTAATTTGATTAGGCTAAAGAAGTAAGGTCAGTTAGTTAATTATAAAAAATATAACATGTTTTTCCTAAAACACCATAATCACCTTCTTTAAGATTCTCTCTTCCTCTTTTACTTAATTATGGTTAAGGGAGTATCCATAGGGATGATTTAGAGAAAATTGATAAATATGAGAAAGAAGTCTTATATTTAAGACAAAAAACAACTTAATAATTAGGTCCTATATTAAGGACCGAAAGAGTAATTGTAAAGGTGAAGGAATATATGCATCGTGATAGTGGGCACAGAAAATTGGGGGAGTAACAAAATTCTCTGGAATAATACAATTAATTTAGTTAGAGCACCACATGTAGAAACAGGCTAGGTCATAGGATTCGAGTTAATCCTATGTATGTATTGTTTGTTATTGATTTTTAAGAAAAGCATTACATGTGAAGAAGACAGAGAATTTTCTTTTAAAGAATGATTTTTTCAATATATATTTATTATCTATGGTTTTTAAGGGTCTCTTTTAACAATATAATTAGTCATAACAACAAACTATCCAATAGAGATTGCAAAATGAAGACTTACGATCAAGTCGCTTT